ACCCAAGTACAAAGAGTTTATTGGGGAGAGAATTCCAGGAAACACAGGTGGGGAGTGAGGACCTGAGACAAGGAAGGGAGGGAGCCATACAGATGCATATCAACCGCGTCACCAGAGTGAGAACTGGAGCTGAGTCCCATTGGGGTCACTAAGAGCCAGCGTAGAACACGACCTCTGAGCCAACCCCTGAGAGGTGAGGGAGTGGGGGGCGTTTATCCACAGTCTTCGTCGGTCATTCCTTGAGTGCTGCCCCCAGGGACAGTTCCCTGGCACTTCTGGTCTGTCCTGTGGATGGGTGGAGCAATTGTGATGGTGAGAGCCCCAGGCCGGCAGTGGGAGATTGGGCAGGTGTGTGTGATCATGGTTATGCAAGGCATGGTGGGCGTGGTGCCAACAGCACCCGCTCTGCGGTGCTGTCCAGCTCCCATCTCTCCTCATGCAGGGGGCACGGTGCCCCTGCGAATCGCTGATTATCCTCATACGGCCTCATCTATTACTGGTAGAAATGTAAATGGGGCAACTGCTGTGGAAAACAATTTGGTGGTTCCTCAATAAGTTAAACGTAGAATTACCATAAAACTCTGCAATTCCACTCCCAGGTTGATACCCAAAAGAACGGAAAGCAAGTGTTCCAATAAAACCTTGTCCACAGATGTTTATAGCAGCGCTGTGCACAATACCCCAAAGGTGGAAACAGCCCGAATGTCCATCCGCTGATGAAGGGATAAACAAAATGTGGTATATCCATAGAGCCATGAAAAGGGAGCAAGTACTCACACATGCTACAACATGGATGAACCTTGGAAACATATGCTGAGTGAAAGAAGCCGGACACAGAGACCACATATGACTCAAAATATCCAAACCAGGCTGATCCATAGACAGACAGAGGGTTAGTGGTTGCCACGGGCTAGGAGAGGGGGATGGGGGAGTGTCTGCTTAATGGGTAGGGGGTTTCCTTTTGGGCTGATGAAAATATTCTGGAAACACATTGTGAATTATACAGTTTACATGACTTAAATGATACATTTATATGTATTTTACCACAACAAGAAAGGAAGGAACAAACGAACTCTAGGCGCTGCCCAGCCTGGGTTGCAGGGTACACTGCCTGTTTCTCAAGTGGGAAACAACCCCAGAGTGGCATGTGTACTCCGGGTCGCATGGTCAGGGAGGGGTCTCCGGAGGGGCTGCTTCTCTGTGCCTTGGGCTGCAGCTGGGCCCCTCATCTTGGCCTCGTTTCTGTAGGAATGGTACAGCAGAGGTTGCTGGGAGCTGCCCTGGTGGAAACAAGGCCTCCGTCCTGGAGACAGAGCTGTGCCCAGCGTCTGCAGAGTGGCAGAGCAGCGCTGGCAGGGGAGATGTGCCCAGCTGGAAAATTGCAGGGCGTCTTGTCTTAAATATAATATTAAATCGGTACCTTTAATTAGTACACTTAGAAAAGGTCACTAGCAATTACCTGGGACACAAAGAAGGCGTGAGCAGGCACGAGCCGTGGAGAAACCGAAAAGGACCATTTTGAGCAGCACATAATTGAGGGGAAAATGGATAAAAGTCCAGGAAATTACAGGGTGGGTGACAGCAGCTGATGGCCCCATATCTGTCCTGCCCAGTCCCCCATCCCCCCTTTCTTGGGAGGGCCTGAGCTTCGGGCCTCAGAGAGCCATTTGGGGTATTGGGCCGAGTAGTGTGATCTTGGCTGGAGGGCCAGTGTAGCTTTCCCAGAATCCCATTGGCCGGCCGGGAGCTTGGCCCCATACACCTCCTGGGCTGAGCCCTGAAGGAGGTTGGCAGGTGAGGTGTTTAGTCCAAGGGGGCTACCATGGCTTGGTTGTGCACTGTGGATAAGCAGGGCCCTGATGGGCCTCAATTTCCTCATGTGAATTTCCCCAAGGCATCGGGAAATAACTCAGTGTTCCACAAACTTTGCCACTGAAGGACCCTTGAGGGTGATGAAGAGGAAATGTGTATCCCTGGAAGTCTGGGGGAGATTGAAAAGTCTTTTTCAGTTTTAGGTTGTGTCTTTATAAATAAATTAAGTGTCACATTGTGTTCCCAGTATATTCCCGTTTGCTTTAGTGTAAAAAGCTGCTTGTCACCGAGCAGCACAGATGCTTTGGGAAGATGTGCTTGGTTTCTCTGTGACTTCACATACCCCCTCCGTCCTCATCTAGAAAGAGCACTGTACCAGGAGTCTGAAAGTCTGGAAACTTGGGTTTGGGTCCTGACTCTGTTGCTCATCATCGTACTTTAGGAAAACTGCTAAACACATTTAGCTTCTCCATCTTTAAAATGGGAAGATTGGGTTCCCCCAAAAGTCTCTCAGGTTGTTTCAACTCTGTTCCCTGATTTCATTCCTCCTTCTCCCACTTCTCACCTCCTCCCAGCATCACCTGCTTCCCACCTCCTGACATCACCTTGGATGCTGCCATGTCCTGCCCTGCTATGTGACCATGGAGAGACGGTTTTGCCTCTCTGGGCCTCAAGTTCCTAATCTGTAGAATGGGTATAGTGATGACTACCAAACAGAGCTGCTGGGAGGAATTGTGAATGGGCCTGGCACTGTGTCTGGCATATCATGACAGTCCAATGGTTGCCCCATATCTTCTTTTTTCAAGTGCTGGGCTTCCAGTTAAGGCAGGGGTGGGAACCTTTTTTCTGCCAAGGACCATATGGATATTTATAACATCATTTGCTTAATGTAATTCACTTAATATAAATTTATGTTGCTATGAAAAAAGCTTCTAGATTTGTTGAACTTTGAGTCCTGCCTGTAGTTGCCTTGGCAGGGCCAGAGCAAATGATTTCGAGGGCCTTATATGGCCCATAGGCTGGATGCTCCCCACCCCTGAGTGAGGGGTCTGATAGGGTCACGTCTGGAAGTCCCGAATCTTCAGTTCACAGACCTAGTGTTGTGAAGTGTAAAGTTGTGGTAACAAATGTGGACTCGGCCGAGTGCCCAGGCTTTGATTCCAGCTCTGCCGTTCGTAACTTTGTGGTTGTTGTAAATTACTTAATTACTCCCTGTTACCTTACCAGTTAAATGGGGAGAGTAACAGTAAGGTCTGAATTATATAGTACATGGAAATCCTTTAGCCCAGTGTCTGGAGTGTGGTTAGTGTTCAGAAATGTTAGCTCTCATTGTCATGTTGGAACTGTCCTTTTCAAAGTTCACCTAGAAAAGCTCATTCGTGTTCTTTTCTAGATAACATTCCCAGAGTTTGGAATCCCTCCTTACTTATTAGCTTGATCATCTAGAGCTACTCAATAAATATGAGAGTCGGTATTTGCGGAAAAGTGTCTATCCCATTTTATAGGGTAAACTGAAGCTTTGAAAGAAATGATTTGCCCAAGGCCATGGTTCTAATTTAATCAGTCTTTGAGAGTCAGATGAAGACTATAGACCAGTGGTTCTCAACCTTCCTAATGCCGCGACCTTTTAATACAGTTCCTCATGTTGTGATGACCCCCAACCATAAAATTATTTTCGTTACTACTTCATAACTGTAATTTTGCTACTGTTATGAATCGTCATGTAAATATCTGATATGCAGGATGTATTTTCATTGTTACAAATTGAACATAATTAAAGCATAGTGATTAATCACAAAAACAATATGTAATTATATATGTGTTTTCCGATGGTCTTAGGCGATCCCTGTCAAAGGGTCTTTCGACCCCCAAAGGGGTCACGACCCACAGGTTGAGAACCACTGCTATAGACCGTCTCTGCACAAAATGACACTGTCATTCTGCAGACTCCTAACAGTTTGCATGCTTCCTGGAGGTATGCGGATCTCCTGAAGCTAAGATGACCAGATGATCCAGTTGCTTGGGACCTCCTGGGTTTAGTATGTGCTCTGCCTCCGTCCTGGACACACCAGGGTGGTTGGTCAGCCTATCGAAGGCTGCCTGGGGGGTGGTGGAGGGGCTGTGACCCCCGGAGATGATACCTTGCACTGGGACTGCTTAGGCTGCCTGTAGGCCAGGATCCTGGTGCTCACAGTGAACTCTGGCCCAGGCTTCCTTTCCTGGTGAAGGGTGACACTCGATCTTTTTCTTGGGAACGAGAACTAGGTCTCGCCACCCAGTGCTAGACGGGAGTTCCTGGAGGCTGGGAACTAACCTCTGTGTATCCAGTGCTTACCACAGGCCAGCACCTAGTCACTGTCGAATGAATGGCAGGTTTTGCAAAATATCCTGAATTAGAAAGGTTGCTTCCATTTGCAAAAGACTAAAATCCAGCTCAATTGACTCAGGCAGAAAAAAAAAGGTGTGTGTGTGCGCGGGGAGAGGGGATTTATTAGTTCATATAGCTGAGAAGTCCCAAGGATGGAGCTAATATCAGGCACTGCTGGCTGCAGACCCTCACTCCATCAGGAATCTCTCTCCATGCACAATTTGCCTCTGTTTTGCTCCTTGTTGGCCTTTTCTCAAGTAGGCTCTTCCTGTGTGGTGCCAAAGACGGCTGCCAGCAGTGCCACTTTAGCAACCCCAGTGGCAGGAAAGCTCCTCTTTCTCAATAGTTCCAGCACAAGTCCCAGGGTTAGCTTTGATTGGCTAGCTTGGGTCACATGCTTATCCCTGAGCCAATCATTGTGACCAGGAAGATGGAATGCTCTGATTGGCTAGGGCTGAGTTATGTGCCCATCTTGGCACATTAGAATAGGGAATTTGGGCCCCTGTTCTCATCTGAGCCACTTGGAGAAGGGAGCCTCCAAATTAAAATTAGAAGGGAGGGGGGCAGGCAGAAGTCACAGCTTTCCATGACACACCCAGAACGTGGCACATGCTGTTTTCCTGTTATAGGCATGTACACACTGTGACCTGTGGCCAGGGGAGCCTGGGTCAGAGCCCAGGACGCATGACGGCTTGCAGTAGTCAGCGCCCTGCCGGGAATCTCTTGGGCGGCTGCTCCTACTGGGATTCAGTGACCTGAGCAAGGTGTGAGGAACGGACTGACCTCCTCTTTGTGCCTTTTGCTTTCTCCCTTACTCCAGGTTCCTCTGTGACCCAGTTGCTGGCCCGAGACATGGACAATGACCCCCTGGTGTTTGGCGTGTCTGGTGAGGAGGCCTCCCGCTTCTTTGCTGTGGAGCCTGACACAGGAGTGGTGTGGCTCCGGCAGCCACTGGACAGAGAGGTATGCCCTGCCCAGACCCCTGCCTCAGGCCTTTCCTGGAGGGCAGGAACAGACCCTGGGGGAGGATGGGTCATCACCTCTTAGGGGTGTTCCTCTGAGGCCCCATCCTGACCCTGAAGCAGCATCTTCCTGCCTGAATGGGGTCCCTCTTCAAGAGGCAGCTCTGATGTCTGGACTTGGGGTTGGAATGGGGGATTGGGGGTGTCTCCAAGTGAAGGGCAACATTGGGTAGGCAAGAGGGACAATGATCCTGGGTTCATCCCCTGTAGAATGGGGGCTCCATGGGGTATATAAGTCTACTCCTGCCCCAACAAATGTCCCCCTAAAGGACGCAGAAGTGGATGACTCTGTAGCCCTTAGCAAATTAAGGTAAGAGCTTGGACAAAACCCCCAACCCCCTTTCTCCTTACATTTGAGGAAGTGGCCACAGAAGTGTCTAGTGACTTGTTCAAGATCACACAGCAATTAAAAGGCAGAGTCCACATTAGAACCCGACTCTTGACTTCCAATCTGTTGCTCTTTTATGGGAAGAATCCCTATTCTGAACTTGCTTCCCCAACCCAAGGGGGAAATGCTTAATTTTTAGGGAAGCCTTTGGGTACCCAGTCCCAGACCAGCCCCACCAGGGCTCAGGAGCTCAGCACAACTTTCTAACTCCCCTCCCCCTCCCTTTCCTTTCTTTCAGACCAAATCAGAGTTCACGGTGGAGTTCTCCGTCAGTGACCATCAGGGGGTGAGTATCCCCAGAAGCCCCTGCTGCCCTGAGAGGATTGTTCTGGGCCCCTTGGGTGGAAAGAAGCTAAAGGTCAAAGCCAACACTGACCACCCCCCTTCTCTTGCCAGGTGATCACGCGGAAGGTGAACATCCAGGTCGGGGACGTGAATGACAATGCGCCCACATTTCACAATCAGCCCTACAGTGTCCGCATCCCTGAGGTAGGAGCCGCTGGGTCACACTTGGGGCACATTGGGGACCTGCTGCTGGGAATGGGGTGAAGAGTCAGCTGGGGCAAGGGCATGTCCACCCTTCTCTTCTGCCCACACCTCAGCTCCGGCATCTGCCTGGGCAGGTTGAACACCTCTGAGGGTGGCACCGCTGAGGGCATGGGCCCATCTGCTGTCTAGGAGAGTGGGTTGGTGGGAGTCTCATGCCTGAGAAAGGGCCAGCCCCACAGCTCCAGCTGGAGTCAGGGACAAGACAGAGGTTAGGAGGGACCAGCGTGTGCCCTCTTTTCTTCTGGTCAGAGCCAGTGGGGGCCGTGGGCAGGTGGGTTGGCAGCCCCAGGCCTTCCTGATGTTCCAGGAAGGGACTTGCCCTGGTCCTGTGATCGCCTGCTGTCCCCCTGGCCCTTGGCTCCTTTGGGTGGTCTGTGTACTCTGAGCGTGTTTGCATGAGTGCATGCGTGTAAAACCAGGCATTGCTGGTAATTGAGAAGTACAAATTATCGCATTACAAACGGTTCGTTAATGAATTGGCTGCTGGCTCACACGGCACCAGGATTCTCATTGCCTGTTGTCCCTCTCCCCAGTGGCTGGTGGCAGTCTTCTGGGCTGGCAGTTAGCGATTCAGAGACCTTGAAGGTGGTGGGTATAGAGCTTCCAACTGGACGTCCCTCAAACCTGACTTCAGGGCTCTGGTTGGGGCAGCAGCGAGCCACTGGAGGGAAGCAGGTTGGCACCGTGGCATTTTAGTCCTAGCCCCTTTGTGTTGGATCAGGTCATTGGATCAGGAAAACTGGAAGAGTCTTTAGAAAATATCTGTTCCGTTTACAGATGAGAAAGCTGAGGCTCAGAGTGGTAGAGTGACTTGCCCAACGTCACACAGCTTAGATGTGCCTCCTGACTCCCAGCACAACCTTGGATTCCTTCAAGGACGAGGAGACCTTGTTTCATGCCCCTCAAGTTCCTGTTTCTGGCCTTTCTTGCTCAGCTGTGAGCCAAGGGTCCTATGCTTATGCCAGACAGAGGGAGGTGAGGACAAGTTTGCAGGTGGGGACATAACAGAGGCTCCCACGCCCAGCCCCTGGCGGGGCAGGACATAATCAGGGAGAGCCCACGGCCCCCAGCATGGGGTATGGTGCCCTGAGCTGTGGCCGGCGTGCCTGGGACTGCAGCTTGGCTCCAGGCCCCCTCTCATTTGGAAGCCTCCCTAATTTAATTAAGGGTCTCTACGTGCCAGCCTGCACTACAGGCCCGGGCTCGGAAACCAAGGGCACGGCTCGGAGTTAATGAGCCTTGGACCCATTGCTCAGCTGCCATCCTGACAGGCATGGCTGCCCCCTGCCTTCCCTCACAGGGCAGCAGGCAGCAGCGATGGCAAGAGGACAAGAGGTCACAGTCCTCCTCCTCAGCCCTGGGCGGGGGCCAGCCTTCTTCTCTCCCTTGCCAGGAGGTATGACCTCCAACACCACCCTGTTGGAACCTCCTGGGATTCTCCAAGGCCTTTGCCTCCAAGGAGAGAGCCGCTTCCATCATTCATTTGTTTAACAAATATTTATTGAGTGTCTGCTGTGGGCTTGGCCCTGTGCCAGGCTCTCACTGCACGGAGACACAGGAGGCCAGAGGGATGGGCAAGGACGGGAGCCAAACTAGCGGCAAGAGGCCTTCGGCTCAGCCCCGGCTCTGCTCCCAGATTGCTGGGTTTCTTTGGACATGTCACTTAACCTCTCTGGACACAGCCCTCTTATTTAATAAAAGCAGAAGAAAGGCAGGATAAAGTGCCCATCTGATGAGGAAAGGGTGCACCGAGAGGGGCCAGCTGCAAGGACACACAGTCCTTGGACGAAGGCCCGCATGGTTTACTTGCTCACGTGTAAATATCCGTGGGTCACTTTGCTGGCCTGATACTCGATCGAGGATGCTCAGTGTGGCCAGTGGGGATATGGTGTCAGCTGGGTGGAGGCCGGGCCACTCCTGACCTGAGATGGCTTGGCACTGGCCAGTCCTTGCCTGGTGTGGTCACCTGAGCTAGAACTTACTGTCTGACTCAGTTCCCAACTTGGGTACCAGCAAAGGACCTGCTGACCCCTGGCCTGGAGTTGAGGCCAGGGCCTCCTGTTTGCACTGAGGTTACCCTGGAAACCCCAGGCTTCGGCCCTTGAGAAGCGTGATTTGTGGCAGAGGCCTTGCAGTTTTGAACAGAGTGAGAATGCACACTAGAGACACAGGGGAGCACTGTAGATCCTGTGATGCATCAGTGCTGAGGGGTTGCCAGTGATCAGAGAAATCTCAGCAGGCTTCCTGGAGGAGGAGGTGGGTTTCAACAGAATCTTGCCGAGGTGAGCAGTAGAGCTCCTGTGTTGTATCGTGGGAAGAGGGAGACTAGAGGTCAAGACACCTGGGCTGTATTCCTGACTGTGCTAACACTGGTTGGTGGGATTCTGGAACTGTCACTGTCCCTCTGCTGGCTTCAGTTCCAATGGCTGTTAAACTAGGGCGTGGACCAGGCTAACATCCATGATCTGAGGGTGAATCTGGTAGGAGAAGCCCCTTACTTTCCCTTGGGTGACGGCAGAGAAGCCCCAGTGGCTGCCTCCCTGCTCTCAGCTTCTCTCTGGCCGTCCCAGCCACCTGCACCGTATCCCTTACCTTCCCATCCTCCACTTTCCCCAGCCCTAGGGGCCCTGATAGATTTGGATCTGTTGTGCTCAGAACCCAAGGATAGGCATGGGAACAGGTTACCAGGATCCAAATTCTGTGTCCGCATAGGAAGAACTTTCTAAATAAGACCTGCCCCACATTCTACTCCCCTGCCCTCCTGAGGATGCACTGAGCTCCCCAACCCTGGAGTTACGCAGGCAGAAGCAGGAGCGCCACGTGTTTCAGAAGCCATCCAGTACTGTTTGAGAAGTGAGGAATCGGAGGGTCCCAACCACACCACATCAGAATTTCCAGGGTGTGTTTAGGAGGCGTACAGGGCGGGCAAATGTAGGTTTAGAGTCATGAGTCATCAAAGCAGGGAGTTTATTCTTCTATTGTTATTTATTAATATTGTGCTGTTTTCCATGCGAACGACTGTAAACCTGTTTTTGCTCCGCCCTGTATTCCTGGGCCCCTGCAATTATGAATCAGTAGTTTGGGGCGAGCTGGCCTGGGAAGCTGCGTGTTTCACAAGCTGCCCCGGTGACCGCGAGCCCTGGAGGATGACCTCCGGCGCCCTCCCCGCCGAGGGTTTCTGAGAGGTCCTGGGGCAGCCTGTCTGTGAGGAGAACTTCCAGCCTGTCCATAGCTGCCTGGGGACATGACCCCTGGGGACCCGTGTCCTCGGGTCTGGAATAGGAGTGAGCGGGAGGCAGGTCAAGGCCGGGCACTGCCCCTTTCCTGGGAGAAGCTCACCTGCCCCAGCCCCCTGCCCCCTGCCCCCTGCCCCCTCTTCCTCTGGAAGCCCCTGCCCTGGCCTTGGGAGAAGCCAGGCAGGTGTGTTTGGGTTTGTTTGTTCTCGTTCCCCTCTTGCCCACCCCTCTCCCCTCGCTAAGCTGTTCTCCGTGTAATTATCCATTTTATCAGGGTGAAAGGCCCTGCAATTCACTTGTCGAAGCCCTAACGAGGCAGCGTGGATGCTTTCAAGTCCGTAAAGAAAAGGGAAATCCTGCTAGAATTGGCAACTTAATTCACCAAGCCAGCCTCGACAGACCTCATTAAGTCCCCGTGTATTCATTTCAGGCTAATGGCTGTCATGCTGACTGCTGTTTGATTTGCTGTAATAGACTTTTATGTCGTTCCAATTTGCTCAAACGTGTTTGCCTGTGTCTGTGCCCAGCAGTGCTGCTTCAGTACCTCCGCTCGGGTGCGTGCCCGCCTTGCTGACCTTCAGCGCTGCCCCATCCCGTCCTGTCCCTCTCCTCCTGGTGCCACGCTCTCAGCCCCCCAGGTGTGCCCTGGGGAGCTGCCCCCGGAGCCAGGGGGTTTGGGCTGGAGGATGGATGTGAGTTAGAAGTCAGACGGTGCCAGGTGGCTCCTTGAATCAAGGATCAAGGATCGCCTTTGCAGTGTCAGGGATGGCCATGTCCTTGAAGTTCTGACAAGTTCAGCTGGGCTGTCGAGGCCTTTATCCATCTGGCCTCAACCTACATTCCCCAACTTACCTTCTGGTAGTCCTCCACCTGAGCGCCCCGTCAGCCCAGGGTCAGTTCCTTGTGTCTGTCTGTCTCTCTTTTCTCGCACTGGCACACACACGGTCCTGTTCTAACAAGTACTGGAGTGTTTTTCTTCTCCCAGCCTAACCCAATTCTGCCCGTCCGGCAAAGCCCAGATTGATCCATCTGCCCCGAGCCACTCAATTTTTTTTAAATGAGCACCACAAGCATCTGTCGGATGTTCGGCCAGGGAGCAGGGCCCAGGGATTCCAAGCTGCCCTGGACATGCAGGGTAGAGAAAAAGGACTCTGCCTTTTGCCAGCTGCACCACTTTGGGTGGTGACTTAACCTCTCTGGCCCTCAGCTTTCTTATCGATGAGATGGACCGTGTTTGCCTTGTGGGGTCTTTGTGAGAGCGAGACAGATGCGGCCGGACAGGCCCTTAGCCCCGTTTGCGGCTCATGTATAGGCAGTAAAATGCTGGTGGTTAAGACTACCATCCTCAGAGAAGGTACTTTTATAGAGAGAACGACAAGTGAGTGGATGTCCAGCTACATCTAAATGTATTGAAAGCCAGCATAGCGGAGGGTGTGCACAGCGGGTGGAAGGACTGTGGAAGGAGTGGCCGGGCTGTACCCGGGGGCTGTTGATGTGGGACCTTACAGGGTGAATGGAGTTTGTTCAGAGATTACGATGTCTCTGAATATCATGGACTTTCTGAGATCCTTTAGCCTCTGTTCCTATAGTGGGATTTCCCAAAGAGGCAAGTGAACTCTGCCCCCTGACGAGAGATCCTGTCGAGGAGGGACAGTGGCTGTGTGCGTATGTGTGTCCCGCGTAGGTGCCCACTGTTACCTTGTG